ATCTGCCTCTGCCTCCCAAGTGCTGAAATTAACAGTGTGTGCCTCTACTGGCTGGCTTTTAGTTTATTTTTTGGTAACATATTGGGGATTAAACCTAGGACCTTATGTGTGCTGGACAAGCACTTTATCACTGAGTTGAGTCTTGTGTCCCTTTTTACTTTTTATTTGTTTATTTTATTTTTATTATTATTATTTATTTATTTATTTTAAAAAGGTTTATTGTGGGGCTGGAGAGATGGCTCAGCAGTTAAGAACATTCGTTGCAAACCAGGTAGTGGTGGCGCATGCCTTTAGTCCCAGCACTCAGGAGGCAGAGCCAGGAGAATCTCTGTGAGTTCAAGGCCAGCCTGGTCTACAAAGTGAGTTGCAAGACAGGCTCCAAAGCTACACAGAGAAACCCTGTCTTGGGGGGAAAACAAAGAACATTTGTTGCTCTTGCAGAGGGCCCAGGTTTGGTGCCCATCAACACACTTTGCAGTTAACAACTGTCCTTAACTCCAGTTCCAGGGGTCTGATGTGTCCTTTTATGCATATGTGATGCACAAACAGACATGGCTGGTAAACACCCATACACATAAAACTAAGTCCCCCGCAAAATTAATATGGGGGCTAGGGTGATGACTCGGTAGAGTACTTGTGCTCAAGCTTGAGGTCCTTGAGTTTAGATCAGCCCAGCTCTCATGTAAAAGGCCAGGCATGGTGGCAAACACCTGTAACACCAGCACTAGGGGGCAAAGACAGGCAGATTTTGGGGGATTGCTGATCAGTCTGGCCAGAACTTAAGCTCTAGGTCCAGAGATCTCAGAAAATAAGGTGATTGTTAGAAGAAACCAGGCATTGACCTTTGGTTTCCTATGTGCATTTCTCAGAGGTAGGTAAGCACACATACACCATTCGCACACACACACAGAAAGGTATGTTGCGTATAGAAAAGATGGAAATAGGGATGTTACTTGATAGAATACCTAGGGGTTGGGGATTTAGCTCAGTGGTAGAGCGCTTGCTGGCTGGGTTCGGTCCTCAGCTCTGGAAGAAAAAAAAAGATAGAATACCCTAAAGATCCTTTAATCAAGTGACATCTGAGTAAAGATCTGAAGGAGTTAAGGTAACTATGTACACTTTTGGGAGATCAGAAGTATAAAAGAAGAGATCAGATATCATGGTCATAAGGTGGGAACGTGTTTGGTAGATTCACAGAGCAGCAGTGGGGTTAGTTTGGCTCGAGTACAGGTTAGTTGTAGAAGTTGGCATTGGATATGGTCCTGGTAACAAAGGAAGTTAGCAAGAAGGTTAGCTCTTCAGAATGAGATGGGAAACTATTTTGAGCAGGGATCTCAGTCCTTGCCACCCCACCTCCCACCCCACAGTCACAGTGTTTCTTTGTGTAGTCCTATCTGTCCTGAAGCTCACTCTGTAGACCAGGCTAGCCTTGAACTCACAGAGATCTGCCTGCTTCTGTCTCCCAAGTGCTGGGATTAAAGGTGTGCGCCACCACTGCTCACGGCCCAAGTTTAGTTTTATAAACATAGTTTTTGTTTTCAGTCTTTTTGAGTCAGGATCTCTCTTTGTAGGCTTTGCTGTCCTGGAACTCACTCTGTAGACCAGGCTGTCCTCCAGATTACAGAAGTCTGCCTGCCTCTGCTTCCAGAGTGCTGGGATTAAAGGCATGTGCCCCCATGCCCAGCTATTTTTGATTTGAAATTCTTTGTTTTGAAATTGTCTGTGTGCGTGCAGATGCCCAAAGAAGCCAGATGCATTGGATTCCCTGGTGGAGAATTAGAGACAGTTGGGAGGAGCCTAAGTGCTGGGAACTGAACTGGGGGCCTCAAGAAGAGCTCCAAATACTCATAACTGCTAGGCTATCTCTTCAGCATACTCAAGTTTATTTTTTTAGCTGATTAGAAAAACAAAACATAAGAATTGTACATACTAGTTAAGTAACATGTTTTGATATGGTTTTACACTTGAAGAGATCACTTTGCTTCTGGAGAAAACATTTTGTGAGTCAAGAGTGGGGCCTGGAGTATGAAGTAATAAGGCATTACTGATTGAGGCTAAGACAGGGAGGTGACCAATTAGCACCAGAATATTAACAGTGGATATAGAAATAGTTACATTCACATCTATCTACCTTTCTTTTCTTTTCTTTTTTTTTTTTTTTGAGACAGGATTTCTCTGCGTAATTGCCATGATTATTCTGGAACTAGCTCTGTGGATCAGGATAGCCTTGAATTCAGAGATCTGCCTGCCTTAAAGGCGTGCACCACCATCACCTCGCTGAGATTCAGAATATTTTGAAGATAGAGTTGGTAGGTGTCCATCCATAGTCACCATGCCCGCCCCCCATTGTGTGTGTGATGTGTGTGCATAGGCTCCTGTACTGTGGTGTGCTGGTGGAGGTCAGAGAACAACTTGGAGGTGTCAGCTCTGTCCTACCATGTGAGAGCAGGGGATCCACTCAGGCCCTTAGGCTTGGCAGTGAATGCCTCGACAAGCTGAACCATCTTACTGGACTACTCTTCTGCTCTTTTTATTTTAAATAATGGAGGTGTCATCTGTTGAAAGCTTGTTTTCCTTAATTTTAAAAATTAAATTTATTCAGTTTTTGTTATTATTTTGCCTCTATGTATGTATGTGCACATGTGCATGCTTGTTGTCCATGGAGGTCAGAAGAAAGCACCAGTTCTTCAGGAACTGAAGTTACAGATAGATGGTTGTGAACCACCCTGTGTGTGCTGGGGGTTGAGCCTGGAAGTTGAGTCTCTGCAAAGCGTATGTCTGTGAAGTGGAACGCTTCACGATTTGTGTGTCTTTGCACAGGACTGTGCTAATCTGTATCATCGCAATTTTAGTATATGTGCTGCCAAATCGAGCACTCACATTGTTTTTAATGCAGGCTTGTTGTTGTTGGAACATTACTCTGGAGTTTTCAAAACCTAGCCGGTACAAATACTTATGCTCTGTTTTGACCTTCATAGCTGCCTCTTCTCTCAGATGGGCTTTCCTTTCTGGGTTCAGGCTTGTTAAAGACAATCTTCACAGATTTCCTCAATAACCATGTAGATGCATCTTGCCACTGTCAGGGCAGCCATTAAATAACTGATCTTCACCTGCATCGTGTTCTTTTCCGTCATCAACCACATCAATTGAAATGGCTCTAGGATTTCTTCCTCCTTTTTGAAGTGCTTTGACAACACCTATGTCTTCTCTAAGTCTGTGAGTTTTTCTAACAACATTCTGTGCTATGAGTGTGTAATGGAGTTTTGGGACTTTACTGTGGCTTGGTGCAAAATTCATTGATCCTCTTTAAGTCAGTGTTTCTGGTAAACCTTAGAGACAAGGAAGCATTTCTTTCATATAATCTGAAACAATCTCCTGCTGCTAGATGCAGGCCTCTGAGGCTCCCCATGGCTCCCTGCTTTACCGATACATAGCAGTACCCCACAGTAAGTGCTCTTAACTGCTGAGCTTTCTTTCTAGGATCTGTTTTCCCTATTGGATTTTGAATTTTTGGGTGTTTGTTGCACATTCAGAAGTCTATATTGCCACCTCATATTCAGTTTTGTGACTTCATAAGAGATTTGTGATAGTTTAATGTGCTGGTGACTAAGGCATAAAATCATCTGTCATCTGATGAGTTTTTAATTTGCACAAGAAATAAATCTTGGCTGGGTATGGTGGTGTACAGGTTCAATCTCATCACTCTAATCCCATAATTACAGCACTTGGGAGGCAGAGGAAGGTAGGTTTTGATGAATTTAAGGTCAACCTGGTCTATGTAATGAATTCCAGAAAGCCAAGACTACATAGTGAGACTCTGTCTCAAAAATAAAAAAATAAAAACCACTGATTTAAACTTTGATAATGTACTTTAAGTGTGTGTCTGTTGGTATGTGCATGTGAGTGCAGGTGTGTGAGCCACCCCACATGGGAGCTGGGAAACTGAACTCAGGTACTCTGGAAGAACAGTAATTGCTATTAACTGCTGAATCGTCTTTCCAGCCTGTAAATTTGCCAATATTGATAAGTCTTTTAAAATCTTGTTTACACTTATTTATGGGTGTGTGTGTGCCACATGTGGAGGTCAAAGAACAGCTCCTGTGAGTCAGTTCCCTCCTGTGGTTCCAGGGGATTGAATTCAAGTCCTCAGATCAGACTTGATGACAAGCACCTGTGCTTGCTGAGCCATCTTTCTGGCACAGTGCCTGTCATTTTGTTTTGTTTTTTTGAGACAGGGTTTCTCTGTGTAGCATGGCTCTCCTGGAACCCAAGACCAGGCTGGCCTCAAATTCACAGAGGTTGGCCTGACTGCCTGCAGAGAGCTGGGTTTAAAGGTGTGCTATATTATGATCACAGTCGGTAAAACATGAGACTCTTAATCTCAGAGTCGTGGGTTCATGTCCCACGTTGGGCGCCACTTACTATGATCAATCCACATGAGTCTCTTTAATGGGTAATAGGGATTTATTAAGATAGAAATTTAGGAAATACACTCACAAGTAGAGAACAGAGGAGACAACTGAAATCATTCTCTGATCTGAGTGCAAGTGAATCTGCCTCACAGGCAGAAGCAAGGAGAAGGGGCATGTGACCCTTCCCCCTTTCCTTATAAGAGGTCATGTACAACAGCAAGAAGCACCGCCTCATGGGCAGAGCACATACCACTACAGTGCCACCCTGCCTGTGTCTGGCTTTTAAAAATGATTTTGTCTTTTATTTTTATTTCTATATTTATTTTTATTTTTTAAAAAAGGTCAGGCTATATTGCCTGGCTGGCTCAGATGCTTGCTATGTAGACCAGACTGGCCACCAAAAGTTAGGATAGGTAAATAAAGCTCTAGGTGATCTGTGACTCCAGCAGTTATCAACTTAGATATTATTGTTTTGTTTTGAGATTATAGTATTTGTGTTTGGGAGGTAGAAAGCTATTTTAGTTATGATTTTGATCTTTGTGTAGATAATAAAATGAAAATTCTGATTTGGCCTTGGTGTCTTCACAGCTAGCATTGTTCTGACTGCATGGAGTGGATGTACTACTGAACCAGGTGTTTTACTTCAGCTGTACCATCTGTGGGAGCAGGTGGACAGAGCCTCTGTCATCAGGAAAACACAGCTGGTGAGACTTAGAAGAGCTAATTGGTTGCTTTCCCAGCTCTTTCTAGTCACATATACCTGAATGCAGTTTACCTCAGCAAATGTGTTGATTTTGGTTAGGACATTTAACAGCAAAAATGAACAAAAAAGTAAAAAGGTGTGAGTATGTATGTATTGAGACATTGTCTGTTTGCTTGGAACTAGTGTTGTCCTGTCTCATTCTTCCAAACTCTTGGATTGCAGGGGTGTGTTACCACACCCTGCTCTGTGTTTTTGGATTGATACTGAGATAATTGAAGAGTTTATTTATTTATTTGTATATAACTTTGTGTGTTTACGTTCATGTGTGTGCTTATGCCTTTGGAGACCAGTAGATGTCCTTTCTCAGGAGCCATTCACATTGATTTTTTGAGTGTTTCCCTAACCTCACTGATAAGCTAGAGTGGTTGGTCATCAGATCCCAGGGGTCTGCCTGTCCCTACCTTCTCAGCTCATACTACCATACCAGCCATTTATGTTGGTGTTAAAGATCAAACTTGTCCTTACTCATGTGTGGCAAATGCTTTACCAACTGAGCCATTTCTCCAGAACCTTATTTATCTTTTTAAAAGAGTTGAGTGGGTGGTGGTGGTGAGTGGGGGCACCTGCGTGTATGAGGGTTCGGAGGTTGGAAGAGAGTATCAGGTGTCCTGCTTTTACCACACTTTGTCTTAGTCCCTTGAGACATGGTCTCTCACTGAACCCACAGCTAGGCTGGTGACTGACAGGCCCCAGTGATCTTCCTATCTTTGTCCCCAACAGCACAGCTACATCCTGTCTTTTTGTTTGTTTGTCTGTTTTGCATATGTATGTAGCCCTGACAGTCCTAGAGCATGATATGTAGACCAGGCTGGCTTCCAACTTCCAGAGATCCACCTGCTTCTGCCTCCTAAGAGCTAGGATTAAAGGCGTGTACCATTATGCCCTGTTTTCTTTTTCCCATTTTCATGTCCTCTGAATCTTAATACTTTTTTTTTTTCCTTTTTTCTTTTTTTGGTTTTTTGAGACAGAGTTTCTCTGTGTAGTCTTGGCAGTCCTGGAACTCACTTTGTGGATCAGGCTGGCCATTGGGGGACCACATCTTTTAAATTTTTTTTTTTGAGACAGGGTTTCTCTGTAGCTTTGGAGCCTATCCTGGACTAGCTCTGTAGACCAGGCTGGCCTCAAACTTAGAGAGATCCGCTTGCCTCTGCTTCCCAAGTGCTGGGATTACAGATGTGCGCCACCACCGCCCGGCAAATTCTTTGTATTCTTAAAAATAATTTAGCAGCCGGGCGGCAGTGGTGAATTAATCCCAGCACTTGGGAGGCAGAGCCTGGTGGAGCTCTGTGAGTTCGAGGCCCACCTGGTCTACAGAGTGAGATCCAGGCGGGCACCTGGACAGGCACTAAAACTAAACTAGAGAAACCCTGTTTGGAACAGCCCTCCCCCCTGCAAAAAAAAAAAAAATTCCTAGCAAATGTCTCATAGGTGCTTAAAATAAATAGTCATGGTCATGTCACTTACTTGGTGTCAGTGTTGTAGATATAAAGTGACAGCTATGCTTTGCAGTGGTGGAGTACACCGTTTAATCCCAGCACTCAGGAGGCAAAGGCAGGTGGATTTCTGTGAGTTCAGGGCCACCTTGGTCTACATAGTGAGTTCCAGGACTGCCAGGGATGTTACATAGAGAAACCCTGTCTCAGAAAACTAGGGGGAAAAAAGTGACAGCTGAGTTAAGTGTTTCTTTTTCAGTTCTGGGGATCAAATCTACGGCTTTATAAATGGTAAAGATGATCTAAAACCAAGGTACATGTCCAGTCCTTGGTTTGTTGAGACAGGGTCTCACCATGTAGCTCTCTAGCTGGCCTGTATTAGCTGTGTTGCTTGGGCTTTTGTGTGGTCCTAGCTGTCCTGGACCAGGCTGGTCTCAAACTCAGAGACCCACCTGCCTCTGCTTCCTGAGTGCTTTTTTTTTTTTTAATTATTTAAAGATTAATTTATTTTATGTGCGTGGGTGTTTTGCTTTCATGCCATTATGTTGCCTGCCTGGTGCCCTCAGTTCAGAAGAGGGTATCAGATCCCTTGGAACTTTGGTTACAAGTAGTTGTGAGCCAAAATGTGGGTGCTAGAAACGGAACCTGGGTTCTCTGCAAGAGCAACAAATGCTTTTAGCTGCTGAGACATCTCTCCAGCCTCCTTCCTTTTTCTTACGTGGGTTCTTACCCAGTAAGCCTTCTCTCTAGCCCTTTATTTTTTAAACTTTTTTAGATAGTGTTTCATTATGTTATCCAGGCAGGCCTGGAGCTGCTGGACCCAAGCAGTCTTTTCCGACTCATGCTCTGGAGTTCAGAACATAGGTCTGAGCCATCATGTCTGTTGGCTTTGTTCTTAAACTATTTATTTATTGTGTATAGGTGTTTGCCTATATGTGTGTGTGTCTGTGCACCATATTCGTGCAGTGCCCATAAGGATAGGAAGAGGGCATTGGATTCCCTGGAACTGGAAATGCAGACAGGTGTGGATGCTGGGGATTGAATTCTAGTCCTCTGGAAGAGCAGCCAGTGCTCTTAACTCCTGAGCTACCTCTCCAGGTTCTATAATCTCTTTTGTTTCAGGGAGGATCTTGCATTCCCTGTCTTTCTGGACTGTCTAAAATGCTGGGGTTACAGGCATGCAGTACAATGTCTGTCTTCATTATTCTTTTTTTTTTTTTTTT